CCTTGGCTCATGTGATTAGGTAGAGGATCATCAGGGGGTCCTTTGTCCCTCTTTGGGGGGAAACTCCCACTGGGTTTAAATCTGGGACTCCCCACCAATTGGACCCTTAGAACTAAAGAAGCTTCTCGGATGAGAGGTGAAACATCTTCAAGCAACTCAAGAAGTCCAGACGCTTTTCTTTCCAAGCTCCTTAGACAACTAATACAATCTTTCTATTCTTTAAAGGCACTAATGTAATCAGCTCTGGAAAAAAATGTAATGCTAAAAGCTAACAATGAACTATAGAAACTTTAAGACTTAACCGTTTGCTTCTTTCTGACTCTCTACGCACATATTTTATTACAGCCGAATTCACTATAAACACACATCTTTAACTCTATACAGTCTTTACATGTACATATTGTTATGTCCCTGTTGTCAGACAACAGAACATACAGGGGAAAAAAATTAACATACTCAACATATTTACCAAGCAGTTACTCTGAACTGAAATCTTGATTCCTGTAATTTCAGTGTTATCTGACAAAATTTGCATTCACATAAGTTACAAACAAAAACAAAAAAGATTTTGGCTGTACTTAAGTAATTAACAGAGTCTCATTCAGGTCTGTATCAATATGGGTGTAGTTTACTGAAATCAAGCTCAAACCCAGAGGTACAAAGGTATGGTTTAAAAAACGATTTGGATCAAAACTTGAAATACACATAATGGCAACACACATTAAAAGTAGTATGTCTTAAAGTGGTAAAATGTTAGAAAAAGCGGACCTTTAAAGGACAGCTGACCAAAAAAACCCCCAAACAAACTAATATAGTGATTTTATGTGTTGTGGATCATGAGAGGGTGATGAAGAGTAGGGGCAGTGCATCACCTCTTGACAGTGACTTATGCACTTCCCTTGGACTTGGTCTCCAGTGGTCTTCCACAGTCCCAGTTCCTGACTAACATTATTAGTGTGCTATTATGTGTGTGGCATTGAGCTGTAGTCTTTCTTGTAGTCAAAGCTCAGGCTGGTCTATCTGGTCTTACAGTCCTAGTGTTGTGCTGTGTTATCCAGGAGCTGGTGCTTCGGTGTAATTTACAATGCCCTACTACGCCCTGGGCTGTGCTCATGTATTAACTCATGTGCCTCATGTGATTTGTGCGTGTTGCTATGATTCCTGGGTGCAGCTTGCATGTTGTGGTAATCGGCTGGTAGTTTCGTGGTGTTGTACCATGTTGTATTGTTCTTCCCTGTGTTAGCCAGTCCAGCTGAGTACCTGCTGTTAGTAGTCCCACTACTTCAATTTGTACTGCCACGCGTTTATGGAGTGCTGTTCTTTTTTTTCGTCCACCAGGTGTAGATCATGCTAAGTCCTGGTGCCGTCCAGCTCTTCATTCCTCCAACAACAACTCATTGAGGAATGTCTGCCTTTGTGATGCTGACTGGCCCTTGCTCTAGGTGCTGGGGTTATGTGCACCTTTTTCTCCCAGATATTCTTCTGGGAGAACATCTTCAGCTCTGGTAGGTCTGTCCTAGTTGTTATCCTAGTCTTTCCTATTATTCTCTTGCAACTAAGAGTACATCCTGGTAGCATCCTTGGAAAAAGGCCACTCATATTTTTCCTCCTGCGTCTCTGGTGGTACCTCTTCAGCCAGAGCTGTAACATTCGTTTGGCAGTTTCTAGAACCTCATCTTGTACTTTTCTCATGATGCCTTTCTACACTTCACTTAACCAACTAATATCCTTTGAGCTTTTCTGATTTTAAATTCCAGCCTTCTTCTCCACAAAGGGCTTTCTCTACACGCATTCTTGATCATATACTCAAGTCCTTCTAGGATTACTGAGGCAGGGGTATCTATGAGCTCTGTGATACGAGTAGTGTGGATGGTGAGCAGAGCTGTGGTCACATCTGCAATAATCTCCTCTGATAGGACTTTGTCAGTGAGCCGGGGGAGTTGTGCCCTTGGTTTGGTGGCTAACTTGAGTCTGGCCACAATCAGTAGTTTCCTCTGTTACTGCAGGTATTATCGGGTTCAGTTACACTGCTCTCTTCTATCAGAGTTGGCTTATTATGTTCATACAGCTCACTATTCTTCCCATTGTACTGTAGACTCTGGATCTCCAGCTTTAATGGTAGCTAGCTGTCCTCTACTGATGTTATAACATTGAGCTACCAGGTGTTTCTTGATCAGTGTGGATGCTGGTCATCTACTCATCCATAGTCCTGCATGATATCATATTATATCTATCTATATCTCTGTATTTCTATCTATATCTATATGTGTGTGTGTGTGTGTGTGTGTGTGTGTGTACATGCGTGTGTGTTTGTGTGTGTGTGTGCGTGCGTGCGTGTATGTGTACAAAAACACTACACTATTTGGCTTCAATATAGCAAATGGATCTTTAACCAAATTAATGTCCCATATCTGGCTTAGTGATCGTCAATCAACTTTGTTTTTCATTAAAGACTATTTAAGAAATACAGCTTAAGGCACATCTCACTGTGTTTCTTATTGCATCATATTTCACACACTGCATTGCTGTCATGTGCATTGTGCACATGTGGAAAAGTGGAAATGTATCTCGTGTTTGCAGAGAATATAAGTGTGTTTTTGTTTGAGGTGATCCAAAGTACTGGCTGAATTCTCTTTTTGTGTAAACAGTGTTTAGCCACGCCTTGGACCCAAAGCATGACAATGAAACAGACTTGATGAAGCCAGGCCAAAGATTTCGCTGTCAACGTAATGTTTTTTCGCCATTGTTGGACACCTCTATTCAGGCATAATTGGATCCATTATAAAAGACACGAGCGCTTAGGTTTCTTTCAGAGCTGCATGGGTGAGGGGAAGGGAGAGGAATCAAGTGTGATGTTTTTGTATGGAAGTGTGATTGCATTTCTGTATCCCTGCGTGTGTCTTTGTGTGGGTGGGTAAGTGGGTCGATGTGAATGAAAATTAGCCGCGTGCATGTTTACGTGTTTAATTGCCTTTGATTTGCAGAAGGTTAATATTAATTTTTCTGTTTTGTATTGTGTTATGTCTATTTGCATATGTGCACACATTGTGCTGACACACATCACTTTACATTTGTGCATGAATGAGCATTACAGTTATATGGTATCACTTTCCATTAGGCTGCAGTTGCAGCTATTGACTGCTTCCACTGAAATTAATTTCATATAGAAAAAAAAATGTCAATGTTCTCAACCGCGTGTACTTGTAAATTGATTCAGAGGTGCTGTAGACTGTGGAGGGGTGTGTGAATTTGTGTCTGTTGAGGGAAGAGATGCAGATTTGAATGCATCTGCATGTGCCAATGCCACTGTTTTAGATTGCCACTAGCTTTATTAAAGGGTTTATTAGAGTGTTTCAAAGGGGCTTCACCGCAAAATTAGTTTTGAGAGGCAAACCTGCTGCTTCGGGACTAATTGAGCTTCATTACCTCAATAAATACAAGTCAGTAGGATGCACATCTTAAGAATGGTGATTGTGGCAAGCTTTATCAAGCAGAACATCAGTGTGAAACTGGTTAGCTATTGCATTATTTCTCAAAAGCTTTCCTCTGAATAGTTTTGACAGCATCTTCTAGTCACAAATTATTCGCCTGTTTTTTTAAACACATATTTTGATGGCTTTCATTATAAAAGTTACAATCATTCCCTTCTTTGCAACACTGATTTTAATCAAATTCTCACATGATACTAAACCTGCGCAACACACTGATAGACACAGACAAGGACATACATGTACGCACACGTATACACAAACCTCAGCTTTGATCTTGTTGTCTCCAAAACAGAGATGCTGTAGGTAGGCTGCAGCATTGGACTGCACCGATGGGAACTGGTGCTGTAACATCTGGATCACCTCTGGCAACTCTGGATCTCTCCACCCAAACTCTCTGCAGAATGACATACAGAGACACGTTTATTCCTTCAGCAGGTTAACAAAGTTTCTCACTGAAATGAAAAAAAATTACCTAAAAGTAGTTCAATAAAATCAGAGACTTTTTTTCAGCCACAGATATTCAACCATGCATGTCAACGTTAATGCGGGATATAAAGAGAAAGTCAGTTGGATCCAAAGGCAGAGCATAAATGAAAGAGAGATTTAAATGTCAAAATCCACTCTGCTCTGTTTTCAGTACAAGAAAACTCACTTCTAATGGGAGAAGGCTTTAGAAACTAAGCAACACAGTGGAACAAAAATGACACGGATCACCTGCTGAATGCCCAATTTGCTGAAATATCATCATTTCCATCCAACACAAGTGCAGGAAATGAGAAAAAGTAAAGATAAGGCCACAAAGCTAAGCACGTGGCAATCATGAAAACTTTAATAAATGGATCAAAATCTACCACAAATGGTATTAGCATTTTAGCGTAATAAAAAACAAACTGGATTCCCTTAGAATAACAGTAAATCTTTGAAACCTTTTCAGTTATTTCAGATGGATGATTTGGAGCATTGTCATACCATACCATACCACCTTTATTTATAAAGCACTTTAACATAAAACCAGAGTTCACAAAGTGCTGTACATGCTAATAGCATAAGTAAAGAAAAATTAAAATGAGATAAGATAAAATAAATAACTAAAA